TTTTCTTCTCAAATTCACTGTTTTCCACTGACATTCGCCGTTTTCCAGCCAAATTCGCATGTTTTCCCGCGAAATTCACTGCTTTCCACTGAAGTCAGCTGATTTTCTTCTCAAATTCGCTGTTTTCCACTGAAATTCGCCGTTTTTCCTGCAAAATTCGGGGGGGGGTTCCTGCAAAATTCCCGGTTTTCCACTGATGTCCGCTGATTTTCTTCTCAAATTCGCTGTTTTCCAATGAAATTTGTTGTTTTTCCCGTGAAATTCGCAGGTTTTCCCGCAAAATTCACTGTTTTCCACTAAGTCTGCTGATTTTCTTCTCAAATTTGCTGTTTTCCACTGAAATTCGCTGTTTTTCCTGTGAAATTCACGGGTTTTTTTCCCTTGAAATTCGCTGCTTTCCACTGAAGTCCGCTGATTTTCTTCTCAAATTCGCTGTTCTCCATGGAAATTTACCAGTTTTCCCATGAAAATCACCGGTTTTCCCACGAAATTCCTGGTTTTCCACTGAAGTCTGCTGATTTTCTTCTCAAATTCGCTGTTTTTCCAATGAAATTCGTCGTTTTTCCTGTTAAATTCACGGGTTTTCCCGTGAAATTCGCTGTTTTCCTCTGAAGTCCGCTGATTTTCTTCTCAAATTCGCTGTTTTCCAATGAAATTCACCGTTTTTCCCGTTAAATTCGTGGGTTTTCCCATAAAATTCGCTGCTTTCCACTGAAGTCCACTGATTTTCCTCTCAAATTTGCTGTTTTCCACCAAAATTCACCATTTTTCCTGCAAAATTCGTGGGTTTTCCCACAAAATTCGCTGTTTTCCACTGAAGTCCGCCGATTTTCTTCTTGAATTCGGTGCTCTCCCCTGACATTCGACGTTTTTCCGGCCAGATTTGCATGTTTTCCCGTGAAATTCACTGCTTTCCACTGAAGTCCGCTGATTTTCTTCTCGAATTCGCTGTTTTTCACTGAAATTTGCCGTTTTTCCCATGAAATTCGCCGATTTTCCTGTAAAATTCTCGGTTTTCCACTGAAGTCCACTGATTTTTCTTCTTGAATTCGGTGCTCTCCACTGAAGTTCGCCATTTTTCCCTTGAAATTCGCGGGTTTTCATGCAAAATTTGGTGTTTTCCACTGAAGTCTGCTGAACTTGCTGCCAGTCAAAGCAATTCACGTCTGCTCCAGTGTGATAGCGATTAAAACTGGGCCTTCACTGCACAGAGGTGAAGCCATGGCACGGGGCGCCTGGCTGACCCACAGCCAAGTGCAGAGGGGAAAAAAAACCATAGCAAGGAAGTTAAGAACTCTGCTTGTAAAACTTACTCAGAAAGCAGGAACATCACACATCCTGGTATAAAGTGTTTATTTGAGACTTCACAATTAACACAAAGTCTTCCTTTCAATGCCTTTTCTCTTTTTCATACAGTCAATAAATTTATATCAATCCCTCCCTCCCCCATGCATGATTGCTGTTTATTAATCTAAGCCTTTTTTTATTTTCATCGTGAAAAAATAAAGCGTTTCCCCACCATTTCATCTGGCCACTGTACCACTGACAGCCGCTGTGCTGCACTGAAGAGGAGATGCAGATAGCTATGCCTACCCCTGGGGTTGAAGTTACTCCATTATTTATCGATTTATTTATTTTTTTACAGAAAGTGTTAAATGAATCAATCACCCAAGAAAAATAAATATATCAGAAAGAATCAAAAGAGCTGCAGTATCCTTTTTCTTTACATACAGCTGCAGTTCAAACACAGACACTGCTCACAGCAAATCACGATTCATCAACTACCAGGCCCTCACCTTTACATAAGGTTGTGAACTTCACTGAATCTGTTCCAAAGGAGCAGAGCCATGAGCCAGAGGAGGTATTTTAGATGCCATATTTTTACAACTCGGAAAGAGAGATCCACAAGGAAGCCAACTGCCTATGTTCCACTGATCGGCTTTCACTCAAGAGCGATTCCATCTTGTGCTTTTCAGGAAGTATCAGCTAAATACGCTCGGCCAGGGCCAGACATTAAAGTAGTGTGAAAGGCAGGAGAAAGGGCATGTGTGTTACTCACGGCAGTGACAGCGAGTTCTTGGTATCAATGGCTCGCGGACGTGCATCTCAAATTTTGCTGCTCAGCTCATCTTGCTGTATTTTTGGCACCAGCCTCGCAAATAAATTATTCAATTGATCATCTTGCCTGGAGGTGAGGGAGCTCAAGGAAGCTTTCTCATAATAAAGACGGCAGTGGATAGGCCCTGAAGTACAAGACCCATGTTTATGCTTTATTGAATTACTGTGCAAAAGGGAATACTGCATCAGAAACCGTAGAAGACTATATTTTAATCAAAGTCACCAGCCACTGTATCAGAAACCTGCTAACAATTGCTCCAATTGGTTCATTTGGCTACTTTTCGTTGGTTTCTTTTTTTTTTTTTTTACATAAATAATATAGACCGAACATTATAAACATTTCAGCAACCTTTTCTAGAAGACCAGAGGAGCCCTTTTAGGCACCAAGAAACAGCTGCAGGATTGAAATTCCAAAACTGTCTTTGGAGTCATCGAATCATCTGATTACACAGCACCCAATGACAACATTCAGTCGAGCTCAATAGGACTGCTGTCTTCCTGACCATCTTCTGTGTCGTCATCTTCTCCAGTTCCCATCAGGCTGTTTAAAAGATTTCCTAGAATACAATATAGGACAGTTAAAACCCCTAGTTTTACATTCTTATCTCAAAAACTTGGAACTATTCTTCCATCCTGCTAGGAGTCTCAGCAGGACATCAGTATTCCCACACGGGTTTCCATTAAGGATTGATTCATTTGGGAAGCTGTATTTTGATACTGTTCTTTCTCTAAGAGTACACTGGGGGAAAAAAAAAAAACCAACATCCCACACTGAAGTTGCATATTTTTTGTACTATAGTTGCAACATGAGAGGAAAGAAAAAAACCCCACAAAACCACACCCAATGAGGAAAGATACACTTCCAGCCACGAAACTGTCAAACCCCAGCACTAGTCTGCAATCACGCTATAATACACTTGTTCAAAGCATTTCTGCGTTCTCCCCGTTCTCATCTCAATTTAGAGATGCTTGAATTGCCGAAAAGCTGTTATTTACAGATGGTTTTCCATCGAGCTTTGGGCATCAGTGAATTGGCATTTGCAGGTGAAGCTTCAATTCTGCTTTACAGACGGAGAACCTTAGCTCTTGAGAAAGAACGCTGGATGCGTAATCCAGTTCAATTTGCTCATATTTTTAGGGCTGAATTTCTCTATTCCCTTTTGTTACTTGTAGAAGGGCAGTATTAATTTCAGAACATCTACTTTGGGAACTTTAATTTTATATCAGGGTTCCATGTTTGATTTAAAGAAAATCAGCCACTGAAATCTGAGGAAATTAAGCTTAAACACAAATAAGATTTTTCTTCACATTTGTAAGTTATACTGTAATGTCAAAAACTAAACATAGGAGTCATTTATATCATTTATATGCTTCTTCCCTTCCCAAAGATGAAAAGCTTCACCAAATTAATATCACGTGCAACTCATTTATCTTGTATTCTACAGCAGGGACTGTTTTTACAGGCTATGAAAAAACTGATATATTCGTTAGAACAAATTACGTGTTTCCAGCACAGCCATTTTATATAAGGCACTGCTCGGAAAAGTCTGGCAGTATCTATAAACAATTGTCAGCATAAACCTTACCTAGTAACCCTCCGTAGGACGATGTCTGCTTGGGCGGAACACCAAAGAAAAGCTGTCCTATTCTATCTAGGTACTGAAATGACACGAGATGAAGAACAACGTCAGCCACTTCGTTTACAGGTGGAAATGCTACAGGCAGCAGTCACAGCACACAAGCTAGATGACCAGCTCCTCTCCACAAATCACAAAAACGGTGGACAACCAGCTGTTAGTTAATTAATTCTGTAGGTTAGGTCCTGCTGACAAGTATGAGTAACTCACCTCATTATACATGGGATCTCTTTTCAGTGAAGGTTGATACTGTTCACACAATACTGTAAATACTGTTAGTTTTCCTCTAGAAAGGAAACAAGCAAAAATGTAATCTCTGTAACAACTGAAAAGGTCATCCAAAACAGTATGAGAAAAATCAGACTGTACCCGTCGACTGCCAACAACAGAAACCAGATGAAGTTTAGCAGTGGTTGAACAAAAGGTGGACCCTTTTCTATGGAAGGATGTTTCTGCGTGTATGTCGTAAAAACAACCAGTGCACTGGTCTTATTTTTTAAGCAGAGAAACCTGCAAAAGGAAACAGAACAGGGCAAGTTAAAAACAAAAGGCAGAGAAGGAATTTTACATGCAGAAAGAAAAAGGGAAGCCAAATGCTCAACAACCTCTAGTTTATTTGTGCACAGAAACCATCTCAGGTTTAAACTGATGGCAGAAACTCTAACTGGTAGAGGTGTACATCTTTGGCAATGGTTTGGCTTTCAACTGAGGAAGAGGAAAGTCACCACTAAACTCATGGAATAAGAGGGTTGGGAGGGAGAACTGACATGAATAGAATGAGTTTAAAACAAGATCTAAGCAGACCGTATATACAACGGTTACTAAAAGGGGGCATTGATTAAATCAAAATGTGGAAAGACTGGCCACTGCATAATTCAAATTAAACATGACATTGCATTTACTGACCCAGAGTTTACTATGTGTCCTAGTTTGAGCTAAACCACTACCAATACTGTTCAGTGATTTTATTTTTCAGCTCAGTCTCGTCTAAGTAACAGCACTTTCTGAAGTTAACAGGTTTTTGCAGTGTCTGCTACTAGAAGTGATAATGCCTGATGTTTATAGTTACTACTGGGATTAGTATGCAGAAAGGCTCTTGCTTATACTTGCTCCTACAGAAACCAAGGTGACTGCTACATCTTGTGCCCCATGTTAGGGTGCCACAAAGTAAAAGACCCATAACTAAACAGCTGCGCTCCCAAACACATCTCCTTTCAGTATGTATCTGTCAGCATCCCATGACTGTTGTTCCATTAGCACTACCTCAAAATGACACAGCACCAGGACCACTAATAAGTTCGATACACGGGTCTAAAAGTCTCATAACAAAGGTACACTCTGAGCTCCCAAGCCACTTGTCACCAGGTAACAGATGGATTTCCCAAATTGATCAAATCTCTGTTCAGGTCCAGTTAATTTAACTCGCAATCTCTGCACGTCCCACAGGCCTAACAAGAGATTTTATCTGGGAAAGAAGCTGTGAGCAAGCGCTGCGAAGGTGGTCACAAGCAGTCTCATTTTCAGTCGCAGGCTGGCCTCCAATTCTGTGTCCTCGCATGTGCAAGGATCGGGCTCTTTTGCCTTACTGCTGAAAAAGGAACTCCAAGTATTTTCATCAGAGTATGAACTGCTATGTAAGAGGATTTAGTATTTGAGATACAGGCCACTAATGGATGCAGCAGTAGTGCTGTATAAATACTGAAGAAACATTCTCTTAACTCATAACTTCTCCACAGAACTTCCCTCCAGAACAAAGCCCCATGAAATTGTTTAAGAGTCCTGCATATACTAGATTTCCATAAAGGATTTTCTACTGCTCAAAAATCACTGCAGTCTCTATCAACCAGCTACAGAAAGCAGGACAAATCTGACATGACAGCTCGCTGCTGCCAGAAGAGAGACAGACTTGCTCTCACCTCCTCCCTCCCCCCCAACACCTACTCTCTCCCTGAGTCCCTGCTGCACAGTTCTGTCTCCACCTCCTCCTCAGACTCTTCCATGAGCTGCTTTCCCTGACTGAAGAAAGTCATCAGCTGATTAAACACAGTAAAATTGGCTTTGTCAGCCTTAATTGTACGTGAGCTCTGCAAAGGCACATAATGGCTCGCATTCCCACCTCCTACAAAATAAATGCCTAAAGTAAAGGAAAGCCACCAGCAACTCTGTCAAATCAACAACTGTTACGCTGCTGCTCACAGACCAGGGTGACCCAAGACAAATTGTCTCTTGGGATGATAGGACTGAGAGCAAGTACTATGCTAAAGGTAAATATAAAGCCTACTTAGGTCCAGTCTTGGTAAGAACATCAAGGTAAGCCCTAGCTAGACAAAACAGTGTTAACAGAGCTAAGAACTGTGCTTTCAGGGTCAAACAGATTACATGAATTCTTCAGGCAATTAACAAGACTTCAGGTTTTGAGCTTAATGTTTGTGGGTTCTATTTTCTCTCCCCAATGTGACCAATTTAACACACCAGCTTTGAGAAGGTTTTCTCCTGTTGTTACCACACAAAGTGAGTTTCAGAAGCTCTGGCCAGTTTCACAGTTTCTTTTGAAAAGGATGCATGGTTAACCTACAGTTACCATGACGAAATTAGATTGGCCTCAAACACGGTGTCATCTTAGCAAAATAGTTTAAAAAAAGTTTAACACGTACTGTAATACTGCTTGTGCTACAAACATGTCCACCTCACTGCGATATCCCCTGGATGAGGAGTATTCTACTAGCATATTTGCACATCCTTCGCCATCTGTGGAGTGCAAGAAGTGATACCGAGATTCACTATAGTTTTGTTCTATAAAAGGAAAAAGAAAATGGCTTTTAAGAAATCAGCTCATCGCACCTGAATGTAAAAACAAATTTGTTAGGCTTGTACACTACAGCTGGTAAAGGTAAGAGTTACACACATGGTACATAAACAAGACAATTAACAAGAAGAGAGTGGGCTTTCTCCTTCATAAGTTACAGACAATTTATAAAGGGAGGTAATAAATATGTTATCCTAAAGAGATTTGAACAAGTGCTATTAAATACAGTTTATTCAATGCCACCACCAAACACAGCTACCACTAGGACAAAAAGCTTGAGTTGGAGTTATATTGTTTTATATAACTGCATCCTGACACTTCACGTGCTACCATCAATGCTTCTGAGAAGTATCAAGAAGTTCCATATTAGACCACGTGCACCAAGAATTCAAACAGCACCTTCAGCATCCTTCTTTCTAAGTGTGCAGAAAGAAGGCATTGCCTATTTTTAGGTTAGCCCACTCTCACAATCAAAATTAAAATTGCTTCCATATGCTGAATAGAACAGCAATTACACGGGAAAAAAGAAAGGTGCAAGAAATGGCAAGGATTTGTTAGAAGTTAACTTGAAGCAAAGCATCATGCAAAATCACTGCAATGACAAATCAAAATGGGATACCTGCTACTTTTTGGAATTTAGAGTTTTTGCTTTAAAAATCTGAGCCTTTTCGGATGAAACTCTGGAAAACTACAGACTAAGAAAATGCATGTGTTCTGCTCTTCAAAATAACAGCGAGCAGATGGCTACAAAATGAGGATTTTTACTTTCGGAATGCAACTGTTTCTTATCCTAATCGTATCTCAGCTTCTAACTTAAATGCTCTGAAGAAAATCCTCCCTTTCTGGCTGGCAGCAGCCATCAAGCTAATGTGAGAACAGCTATGGGACTGCCTACAGCACACAGAAAGGCAATGAACTGGAATGGTGACCACTGGGTCACCATTGTTATATGAAACCACTATCATCACTGTGCAGTTACTGAAATAATTAAAGTAAACAAACAGTCGTCTTGCACAGCTAGTAATTCACCAAAAACCACAGAAAAGATGGCATTTGTTCACCTGTTCTCACTCACCTTTATGTTTTGAACACACGACTTGAAAAAACTAGCTATCATCCACAATTAAAATAATTATTTAGTGCATTTTTTATTTATCTTGCATCCCATCACAAGTGATAAAATCCCACATAAATCAAAGGCAAAAGCATGCACTAAGGCCATTCAATAAACCTGCTAGTCAACATCTCAGCAAGCACCTAATTACAGATTCAATGACTGTTTTGGATGGTAGGTGATGTATTTCAATCTTTGCCATGTTTATCCAGGATTTAAAAACAAAACACCTGCAACAGACCAGCTTTGCTCCCCAGCAATCTTCATCATAACAATTCAATCAAACTACCTCAAGGTCTGAAGGATCAACCCTCCTCTTACAGAGAGCTGTACAGCAGCTGTGGTTTGCGTTTTGCACTAACACAGAGTTACAGTTCTAGGTTTTTTTTCTGTTAGTACCATTAAGCTGAAGTTATTGCAAAAATCAGGTTATAGCAGAACTCAAACAATCATTTCCCTCTCAGCTTCCTTAGATTCTTTCCAAAGTACATTCCTTACAGTATCACACTTTCAGCATTTTCAAAACAAAATACAGAAAAGCCAGCTCATTTTTCTTACCTTTCCACAGGGTAATTGCTAGTAACTGGTGTAGTTTTGGATGTCCAAGTTTTCCTGATCCACCACTAGACCATTTTAGTGCTCTGGATACAAAAGCCACTCTTTCGGGGGAATTTGGATCCATTAAACTAAACAATTTAGCCAAGTTCTCTAGAAGCAATAGGATTCACAAATATTTAGCATCAGTAGTAACAGGACGAACAGCTGCTTCTAGTGCATCTTTAGGATACAACATTTAAGTTGCAGTGGTACTGTGTCTTTAAAGTCCTTTAACGGCCTCCATAAGCCACCTTAAAAAAGAGCTGACTGAATCCGAGCCACTTTTCATACCCCAAGTCAATCTTGTGTCTATCACCCCACAATATTCACATGACTCCTCCACAGCCCAAAGCTGTGCCTTGCAGTCAGCTGGTGACAGCTTCCCTGTCGCATCATCGTTTGGGACAGGACATCCCAGAGGATCCTGTAGTTCCAATGAGGAGGACAGACTGCAGGTTCTGAGACTGTTTGCCATTCCTGAAGTCATGGATGGGATGCAAATTGTCAGTACTGACCTAAGTAATCAAAGAACGGCTTCTGCCTGTCTGTCTCCACCCACAGGTTGCTAATGCTGCAGCAGCAGTCTGCCCAGGGAGCTCATTAGGTGTCCCTGGTCTGCCTGCTTACCAAATTTCACAGTCAAACAAGAAAAAATTTCCTTGTGAACAGCTGAACCACACTGCCACACTGGTAGGGTGGGAAACCACCATGCACCAAAGGCCAGGGACATCAGTGACTGTGCAGATAATGCATTACTGCTGTACTGAGGACAGGATAATGCCACAAGATAGCAATGGTTGTTCTAAGCACGCCCACAGAGTTATCGGGAATCCATTATTCTCTAATGAAGTTTTCCTACAGTCCATTTCCACAGTGCAGGTAACCTGCAGCCATGTGGGAGGGCATATGAAAAGGATTTCAGGTTTCAAGACTTAACAACAGCCACTGTGAAGTGAAAGCACATCTAAACACCATCAACCTGAAGACAAAGGTCACCTCACCTAAAAGGTCATCTGCTACTTTTGCATCCGATTTCTCCAGAGATTCCAAAACCAGCATGGACAGATCAGCAGCACTGTTTTGCTACAAAACAGACACATACTGGTAGTAGTGAACATGGCAGTACATAAAAGTAAACATCAACCAGAATTTTATCAGAGGCAGATTTAACACTTTTATCAACATCCACAACTAAGGCACAGCATGAAGTTGCAACATTCCCTTATAAAAAAATAGAGTAATTTGATGGCATCAAAAGAGATGCCTCCACAAAAGCAAACCAAACATATTACGATTATTGTTTGAATGCTCACAAACACTTCTGCTTTATGTTCCAGTTTGACATAATCATTCTTTGTGGAGAAAGGCTCAACAAAGGCATAAAACAAAAGATTACAAAGCAATTACCCCAAACACTCACTACTGACAATTTACCATTCACCCCTCTTGGAATAACACATCCATGTTCCCCTAAACCAGACACACGGAACCAGTGACTCACCTGGTTATGACTGAAGAATAGCAAAGCCCCTGAATACATGAGTTCTCTTGCTTCTGCATGTTTTCCCTGTGACATATACCTGAAAACAATACCAAAGCCTTGATAAAAATTGGGTTTTAAAGAAAGGTTTTAGAGAACCTAGTCTGATCTCTCAAATACAATGCTTCAAAACTCATTTGCTGCAGTGTCCACCTTCCTCACTTAAGAGTTAACCAAGACATGAAGAATAACAACTTTTTCCCAACGGTTACCTCAAGAGCAAGAGTGTCTTACCACGGTGCTGTGATGGCAGCCTCCTGCACATCATCACCATCAGTAACTAAAGGTCTTTAGGATAGTCACATCTTGAGGGCACAAATGCAGCATTTCCTACAAAAGCAGTTCAGGTGTGGCAGCAGATACAGGTTCCAATGTCTGTTTCTCTCAGCTGCCTCTCAAAAAGTCTGTTTTCTGAGTAATTAATAAGAACAGCCAATTTGCTCTTATCAAAAAGATCACGACACCAGTTCTACCACGATGCTTTAGCACCTGCATTATTCGCTTTGTGCTCTCCCACACCCGGTCATGCTGTGCCCCTGCTTCACCCCTCTCTGTTGTCAGGGTCCGAGCAGCCACCTCACTCCCGCAGCGGGAAGGTCCCCCCCGTACAGCAGATCTGATGCACGACTGTCCCCAGAGGGTACCACAGGGGTCTCAGTGGTTCTGGTCCAGTGAGGGCACAGAGGGGGTCACACACTAACCAGAGAGAAAACGAGCAGATGGTGGATACCGTGGCTCTTGTGCTGCACGTGAGATTCCTGTCACACGTGACAGTTCCAGGGACAAGTCCTACCGGTAAAATCAGATCAGACAACAAGCAGGGGAGGAGACGATCCTTCCATTCTGCTCATCGTTTTCCAAAAACCCCAAGGTCTTTCATCCAAAACAGTTAGCAAAACAATAACAATGAATGGCATGCTCGTGGTTTTTTAGGAACTGGTATCCTCAACAATTCAGATCTGCAATCACCGCAGTAAATACTCGGCACATTAATTGAACAGATCAGCAGTTCCCACATTTTTGTAGCTGGCCTCACATCCAGGCTTCCTTCTGGGCATTTTAACTCGAATCTCAGTGTGGATACACTTTCACAAATTCTACTTCCAGCAAATTCCCAACACTACCTGGGAGCTCCTACTCTGGGAATTACTGCAGCAGATACTAAAAGATGCTGAATATAGCTTTACAATATAAAATACATTTAAGTAATGTCTGATTTTTTAACACCCTTTCATTTTAAAAGTATTTTTAATAATAACAAACACTCACTACATTGATCTAAACAGCATTTAGAACAAGAGAAAAATATTTTCGTAACTGAAATCCTGGAATCATACCAGAAAAAGCATGTACGAGCATCAGGAAGACAGACATCAATATAACTACAACAAGGATATTAAACTTGGAAGTTTGACTCAATTACTAAATCATAAACAGAGAAAAATTCAACCCAGACAGCCCGTACAGGAGCACACGGGGCCAGGTCCTCCTCTGTGGAGGAGGGCAGTACTTGCAGCTCAGGGTCAGGCCCGAACATGTGGATCACAGGAGGGATAAGAAGTCTTCAGGAGGCTGGCTTACAACAATCTCTCCTCCTCCACTTCTTCCCCTCCTCCACGCTCAAATACATCTCAGTTTATGACTTTTGAAACTCTGAGTCAGAATTTCAAGTTTAACATGCAACTCACGACAGAATAAATGTTTTTCAGGCCAGTGTCACTTAAAACAAGTATCTCAATTACAATTCAGCAGCTGAGATCATCCCACTCTGTGTTCATTATCTCTGGAAAACTGTTGACATTAACATGCATTTTACAGGGGACAGACAAGTCTATCCAGGTCTCTTTTTTGGCCTCAGTGACTTTCCAAACAAGTTTCACAGTCTCCTTACATCTTTTTGCCTAGAAGGAAGCCCTCTTCTCAGCTATGCAAATGTCACCTTTTCAGTTAATTGAGCACATTCTTTCTCTTGCATTTAAAATGGAAAAGGCTGGATTTTTGATTCCAAATTAATTCAGGAAGGCTTAAGCAAAGTACGTGAGTTAATACATTCAGAAGACTGGATGAGAAGTGACCTGCTGAGCCAAGTTATCTTCTGCCACTGCAGTCATCACACCACGTAATCCTTACTACAAAATAGGCCATGCTTTGTCTTAAATTTAGATTTATTCTCAAACACAATTTAAGTCTTAAGGCCCAGACAGTGCCCTTGCTGACCCCATCAGAAGGCTATGGCAGAACACAACTGCTTTAATTTAATGGTGCTGGCTAGGGCAAGCTATCTGATGTGCGTTGGTAGCAGAAGCAGACTATGCACAAGGACTCTCTTCCCCACGTATCTGGCTGCTATTTTTCCAAGGATACCCACAGGCCTGTTCCCATCCCCACTCTGAGGAGCTCCAAGGACAGCTGACACACAAGTAAGCTCTCAGGACTCAGAAGGCAGTTTTCCGAGCTGTCCCAGCACAGCAGAACCACAAGTTAGAAAAGCTGGGACCAGCTGAGGAAGCCCATAGAACAAACACTTTATTCTGTGCCCCTGAAGGTAAGGGTCTACATTTTAAATTTTGATGAGAGAAAGGGCAGCCACAAGCTACAGTGGACACAAAAAAATAAAATAAAAATTAAAAAAAGGTTTGCAATAAAAGTAAGTTTCTTATGACATATCAATATTACTAAAAAAATGTCCAGACCTGCTCTACTTAGTCACCATCATGTACACATTACACCAATTAGAGTCTATCCTAATAAAATTCCTCCGTGTCGGTGATTACTACAATCCTGAGGCTCACCAGAGGGGCACTACCATGCAAAAAGCCGTCCCGTTTCTCAGCTGAGCAACAACCAAGCCAAAACCCTAAAACCCTGCAACCATCTGCTTCGCAGCCACGCTGACGTTTAACACAAGCTGGCAACGCCGAGGCTGCCGAGAGG